TTAACCGACTGTTACTGTGAAGACGTGCTACTCCAAACAAGAGAGCACAAAGGGAGCAATTTGCATTATGCTGATTCGGCACGAATTCTTTTAACAATTTTTTTTGGTTAACAAAAACGTGGTATATGAGCATCTCTATTATGCCATGAACTATGAAGCAAAAAAACCCCCCATCATGACCATTTCATCTATGTACGCCCAGTGCATGAAAACATATTTATATAAACACATATACACGTAAAAATGCAGAAAATGCCAGCGTCAGTAGCAGACGGCCCAACTGCCTTGGAATGAAGACTGCAGGTGAGCGGTGAGCGACTGCCACTGAGCAGAGCGTCGGGTCATGAGCATTACAGACAAGTGAACACAGGGTCACCACAGAGGAGTGGGGCTGGGAGTTCAGGAACAAACAATGCTGCTAAGTACAGAAGAAAGAAACAAACAAACAAAAAGACAGAGGTGGGTGGTCTGAGTCAGATTTGTTGTGTCTTGGTCGTCATGGAGACCACACAGCGAGGTGGTGGAGGTGGTGGTAAAAAAATACCAAACAGCACCACCACCAGCACACCAGGAGGCCATCATTGAGCCAGACCTCAAGATACATTGTACATCCATTCATCTACACAGCTGTGTACATTTAACCAGTGTACATCTATAATTTGGTGAAGATTTCAGTCCCAGACTAACAAAGATACCCCCCCCCAAACCTCAACAAAACATACACTGTATATTCATTCACTCATCCAAATAGCTGAAGTACATTTGACCTGTGTACATCTATATTCTGGAGCAGATTTCAGTCTCAAACTAACAAAGATTCCCCCCCCCCCCCTCACAACAAAACATAAACTGTATATTCATTCACTCATCCAAACAGCCTAAGTACCGGTACATTTTATCTGTGTACGTCTACTACATTTTAACAGGCCAGGCATAGGGGCCAGACTGAAATTGCTTGCCAGCTGAGATATGGCCCACAGTTTGCCCTGCCCATGCATGATCTACACCTTGTCTGTTCACCAAATCACAAAAACAGTCGGCAAAAACCCCTCCCAAGTACAAATACTTTTGGAAAAGCCCACAACTTTTAGGACTCTTTATGAATTTATTACGATTACCAACATAATTTAATGGTAAAATCTCCCTTGAACAGTCAATCCTCACAGAACCCAGAAACCTTATCCCTCCAAATTGTTTCAAGGACACAGGTGGGAACTTTAAAACATTTCTAACATTCTGATTTAAATAACAAATAAAATGTATGTACAATATACAGCCAAACTAGAAGTGGATCATTTCAAACCAGCACTCTTTCATAAAAACTACACGTCCAAACTCAAGAAAAAAATCAGACATCAGAGCACGCAATGAAAACTTTCATTTGTTATCTTCTATCATGTAAAAAGTTGTATTAAAAAAGAATATGGCATAAAACTTCTACTGCAAATTTCTATTAAAAAGCATATCCCAGGAGGACAAAGAGAACGCCCGCACTCACACAAATCGTTGACAGAACTAAACCAAAGCAGTAAAACTACCACAGCAGTGCACACAAAGACATTTGTTCGGCAAAATATTTTTTTAAAAAGTAGCACAAGATTTCGTCATATCAAAAAACCCACAGAGACATTTGTTCGACAATATCCAACATGAGACTTTAAGAAGTCATCAACAACACACTCACCAACTCACACAGATATTTGTTTGGCAATATAAAAAGACCGTGAGACACAAATCACCTCAGAAAACCCACACACAAAACATTTGTTCGACAATATCAAACGGAACTATGAAACAGAGTCAGCTAAAAGAGAACGAGCTTTCAAATGCAATGTTAAAATAGGTTAGTTAAGTAAGTATGCACCGTAACAAAAGTAAGGCCTGGCAAATGCTCTCAGGACAGAGGTACTTTCACCTGACTGTGATCCGCTAAAAAAATACTAACCAAAATAACAACAACAATAATAATAGTTTTCGTTTCTTTGTTTAAATAAAGAGAAGCATATCGACACAATAAAGGTCATTTAGTGCTGGTGAAAAAATATATGACAGACAAACAGAAACAACAGAAGGAAGGTAAAGAAGGAAGACCTACCAGTGGCATCCATCAACCACCC